ATAAGTTTGAGAACTTGGCAGAAATGGACCTTTTCCTAGCAAATATTGACATGCCAAAATTAAACCAAGATGAGTTAAACCATCTTAACAGGTCCATATCAAGCATTGAAATAGAAACAGCAATAAGAGTCCTCCCTGGACCTCTGGTCCAGGACCAGATGGTTTTACAGTGGAATTCTACAAGGCCTTCAAAGAAGAGCTCACACCAATACTCCTCCAACTCTTCAATGAAATTGAAAGAGAAAGTTCACTACCGAACACATTCTATGAAGCCATCATAACCCTCATCCCAAAACCAGGCAGGGACTCATCAAAGAAAGAGAACTATAGACCCATTTCTTTGATGAACATTGATGCAAAACTTCTCATCAAAATTATGGCCAATCGACTTCAACAATTCATCCAAAAAAATCATACACCACAATCAAACAGTGTTCATTTCAGGGATGCAAAGCTGGTTCAATATATGCAAATCAAATAATATAATTCATCACATCAACAGGAGCAAGGAGAAGAACCACATGGTTAGCTCAATAGATGCAGAAAAAGCATTTGACAAGATCCAACACCCCTTTATGATGAATGTTTTGGAAAAATTAGGAATCCATGGAACATTCCTCAATACAATAAAGGCTGTATATGACAAACCTACAGCCAGAATTATACTTAATGATGAAAAAACTAAAATCATTTCCTCTTAACTCAGGAACAAGACAAGGATGTCCACTCTCTCCATTTCAATCTAGTATTAGAATGCCTAGCTACAGCAGTAAGACAAGATGCAAACATAAAGGGGATCCAAATAAGGAAAGAAGAAATAAAACTGTCTCTCTTTGCAGATGACATGATCTTGTATTTAAAGAATCCTTTAGACTCCACTCCCAAATTACTCAAGCTGATTCAAAACTTTGGCAAAGTAACCCTGAAAAATCAATGGCTTTTCTGTATGCCAACAATGAAAAAAATGTGGCTGAATTTAGGAAAGCAACTCCATTTGTAATAGCCCCACCAAAAATAAAAGCCCTAGGAATTAACTTAACCAAAGAAGTGAGGGAACTCTATGATGAAAACTTTAAAAACGTGAAAAAGGAAATCAAAACAGAACTTAAGAAATGGCAAAGCCTCCCATGCTCCTGGATTGGAAAGATTAACATCGTGAAAATGGCAATACTTCCCAAGGCTATCTACAAATTCAA